TTTGGGACCTCTATTGTGAAAAATTTTTTCCACTGGAAAAAATGCACGTGGAATCTCCCTTTACTTAGCTCCTGAGGCCAATGATTATGATTCATTAGCTGATATAGCTTTCTCTAGGCTTCTACAAAACTGACAGCTGACCAAAACCACCAGTTCCCCAATTAAACCCTTTATAAAACATTGCTCCTAAACAAATTTTCAAGGTAGTCGACCAGGAAGGCACCTGATCCTCAATAATAAATTTGTTTTTGGGACCTCTATTGTGAAAAGTTTTTTTCCACTGGGAAAAATGCACATGGAATCTCCCTTTACTTAGCTCCTGAGGCCAATGAAAGCTTGGGGCTTCTCTTGAGCTGAAGATCTGAGGCTGCAAAGCAAAAGGATTGCTGAGAACAATTACAAAGCACCTGAGAAAGGAAGCTGAATACAATCTATGAAAGGAAAATGAATACTACAATCAATTGCAAAAGATCCCTCACCAGGAATCCAGATTTGTTTTGGTGATAGTTTATTATAGATGTCCCCCTGTTTGTTTGAGGGGGGGGGGGACCCCCCTTTACTAATCAGGATCCAACATTACTGAATACCAATGAGTACCCTACAAATCATGCATTGGACACCCAAAATGCAGGGTGAGTACTTATGGTAGTGATCTTGGTTGGAATGGGTTTGAGTACCGGGCACGCCATGGGCATCATGCTCCGTGCAAACCCGAGCGGCACTTGTTGAAGGGTGGTGCCATTCTATCACATCCCATCATCTTGGGGCTCTCAGAACAGCCCAAAATATTCTTGCAGCTCCAACTGCACCCAGCGCCACTGCAAGCGTCCATGCCAATCACCTGTTGCAATAGATGTTGTGTCAACTTCTTTGCTTCATCAAATTGGTCAAGCTCTATGACATTATGAATCACCATCCAAAAATGTCCAAAGCTCGACACTACAATTTTAATTGAATCTACTTTCATGCCTCTAGCGGTGACGTCTTGCCTGGTCACCATCATCTGGCTTGAATTGAAAACTAGTAACTAGATGCTGTCTTGAAGTGGACATGTGCACAGTTTCAGCGGGCGGATCAAGGGATGTCAAGGGTCGTCACGGGCAGTTTCTACCCTGAAAAGCCGCCAGCACTTTCCACTCTCCCGTCTCCCACCGATAGAACGCACAAAGTGCACTGCACCTGCTTCTCACCACAAACGAGCTCCTGAAGAGCTTGGTCTGGCTTGCACCTGCGGCAATCATTGCCGTTGTGGTTCGTTATGGTCGAGTTATTGCTTTTACGGTAAAATAGCAGCTCACAGCCTGTAAGTGCAGGACCCATTGTTGCATGACATCGATACTGGCTTGTCACCACCCGCGCAGCCAATGAGAGAAGGCTCAGGCTGATTGGTCTTTAAAGACAGTTGGATTAGTTCAAGAGAGCTGATCCTTGGCACCGCCACTGTCCCAGTGCTGGTGGCCGGTGAAACAATGGCAAAGACTGCACATGTACCACCATCGCATAAATACTGAAATTCTTGCGGCAAATTTTCAAAATTGATGACATCAAATATCCCAAAACGTGAGCTTCCTTACACAAATCGTTTCATTTCTGAAAAGCACCGCTGCAGGAAGTGCTGGAAAGGAGCTGTGCTTCCAGTTCCTCGACTTCATCATGGCTGCACCCATTATCGCAGGGAGCCTCTGATCGGCAGCTGATGCAGCTCAGTAAGGGAAGCAACCACAGGAATTTCGCCATGCCGAACACGTGAAGACCGTGAAGGGATTGTCACGTGAGTTCTTGAGCTCGACAGCTGCGCAATTTCGCTGTCTGCTTGGGCAGCTGCAATCATGCCTTTTCTCCAACCTACTAGCGATGGCCTCCAACCTGCTAGCCCAACCTACTAGCGATGGCCTCCACCCTACTACCGATGGCCTCCACCTAATCATGTTTTCTCTCTGGGATAGAGTGAAGCCTGGTATTTTGCGATGTCCCCAATGGTGGACTGGTCGCTCAGATCGACTGGGTCTCGCACTGGTGCCATAGGCTGGCATGGAGGTGGGGCAGCCCAAGCCCGCACAGGATGCTGTGTTCACGATTGAACCACGCTTCCTTCATCAGTTTCGAAGCGTTGATGGCTTTGGCTATCTTTGGCAGCTGCCGTTGAAAAAGGAAAAAACACGTTGAAAAAGAAACCATATATATATATATACAATACATATATACACATTTCTTTTCTTCAACAAGGAGCAAGTAAAACCAGTGCCCTCACACAACTCACACATAGGAGAAATCCTGATAATTATGACTATTTTTTAACTGTGGTGTGACATAGGTAGATGGGCGATACGTGAGTAGATACAGTTGGCCGACAAAACAATTCTGTCATAGAAACTTGTGCCATCGGCATGCGTATAGAGCCATGCAATCAGCCTTTGAGAAGCCTACAGGGAATCCGCCGGCCCTGGGGCACGGCGTGTTTTGGGTAGTTGGTTTTTTGTTAGTTCTTTGTTAAGCTATGTCTTGTCTGTTTTAGTGCTCCCCCGGGCGGATTTTTGAACGGTCTAACCTGACCCCCCCCCTCCCCCC